CCTGTGTCCCCTGCATCGGCAGGTGGACTCTCAACCACTGTGCCACCAGGGAAGCCCAGAGTAATTTTTATAGTAAGTTGACTACAACCATTTATCTCAGTTTAAACGTTCACTTGTTTTCACTTATCCTTTCTTTAGTTATAAAACTTTGAACAGGAGCGTATATTAAAATCTGCTCAGAAAACATAATGGAAAGAAGTCTCCAACTGGAGACCTATAGTCGTTCCACATTATTTATAATAGTAAACTTAATCTCTTCTAGCTTTGAAGATTCACCATAAGCTGGTTCTATTCAGTCTAACCTTATTTCCACAACGCAGTCATATTAATTCTTTTTTTAAAAATAAATTTATTTATTTTGTTCATTTATTTATTTTGGCTGTGTTGGGTCTTCGTTGCAGCATGTGAGCTTTCTCTAGTTGTGGCATGTAAGCGGGGGCTACTCTTCGTTGCGGCACGCAGGCTTCTCACTGCGGTGGCTTCTCTTGTTGCGGAGCATGTGCTCTAGGAGCGTGGACTTCAGTAGTTGTGGCACGCGGGCTCAGTAGTTGTGGCTCAGGGGCTCTAGAGTGCAGGCTCAGCAGTTGTGGCGCACGGGCTTAGCCGCTCTATGGCATACGGGCTTTTCCCAGACCAGGGCTCGAACCCGTGTCCCCTGCGTTGGCAGGCGGATTCTTAACCACTGAGCCACCAGGGAAGCCCAGTCGCGTTAATTCTTAATCGAATCTGGCCTCCTCTAAACTCCCAACCCCATACCCACTCTCACCTCTGTGTGCTTGTGTGGTCCCCAGCTGTACTCATTCTCCTCTCTACTATGCTTTCTAACTGGGACTTGGTTAAGCCCAGGACTCTGGCCTATTCTGAATCACCTAATTAGCATCTTATCACAAACTGTTCTAGTTTTTAATTTGCACAATCTAGCTCTTTATTTTAACAGAAGAAACTTCTACCTGTTAAGTAATTTTCTTTTCATGTTTGCATAAAAGATTGCTTTCACAAGCCACAGAAAAAACCTTACATTAAAGTTAAACCTCATGAACTATTATATTTTCTGCCATTCCTGATGAGAATATCTTTCTTTCTTTCTTTCATTCATTCATTCATTCATTTATTTTTGTGGTACGCGGGCCTCTCACTGTTGTGGCCTCTCCCGTTGCGGAGCACAGGCTCCGGACGCGCAGGCTCAGCGGCCATGGCTCATGCACCTAGCCACTCCACGGCATGTGGGATCTTTCCGGACCGGGGCACGATCCTGTGTCCCCTGCATCGGCAGGCGGACTCTCAACCACTGTGCCACCAGGGATGCCGGAGAATATCATTGTTTTTAGTTAAGGTACATTCCTTATCACTAGATGCCAAAATTATAAATGGGAGATTGCTTTATTTTAGTCATAATTTCCTTTGAGAAAATCTTTGAACATAAAGAATAATTCTTAGGGTTCTCAAAAGAATAAGGGTTTCTAGAACATGCTTATTTGTAACTTGTTCTTTCATTCATGGCTATCAGATCAGAACAGATTATAAAAATGCACATGAATAGGTAAAGATTATACATAATCCTGAATCCCTCAAATGTTATCAGAGCTGAAAATCAATATTTATAGGCATGACCTCCCAAATTTCAGGACAAATTAAATTAAACCACATCTAAGATTTATCATTTTTGTTAATGTTTTGTTTTTTCATTCAGATTTTACTTAGATTGACTGCCTCCAGGAGGTATTACCCAAAACATTTAGACTTTCACTGAAGAGTGTAATACCAGGAAAGGGTAATATCCAAACTTTTTCTTTTGAGGTTTAAATTAATTTAGTGAAGAAAATGAGTTTCTGTCTTAACAAGTGAGGTTTATGTTACCCATTCAAATCTCATCACTGTGAATAAACATTATTGTACAAATAATTCAAGGTAAGAAACACACTTTTCCATTCATGTTTAGCCAGATATTTATCATTAAAAAAAAAAAAGGAAACTGACCTAGAGCCACATTAATAAAAAGTGTCTCTCTAATCAAAACACATTATTTTAAATAATTTAAATTACCTAGTATAGTATCTAGTAAAACTATCTGAAAATTTCATGAGCTGAATCTCACAGATTCAAGGTAGTGCCAGTTTAAAAAGTATTCAGATACTAAGAAATCTGTTAACTGATATTAGGCAAGTATCCTTTTTTGCAATCTCGGTAATACCGCTTGGGAAAAAGAAGAGTAAAAAAAACTTCCCTCTATCCACAACGGTAAATACCACAAATCTACTATAGAGGTAAAAAGAAAATTTTCGTTGAATTTAAGTAACTTTGACACCTAGACAAACTACCTTTTCAGATCACAATAAAAAAGTGAAATATTTGCCATACAAATATTAATTGATTGTTTCAGATCATGATTAAAGAGGTTTAAGGAAAATAAATCCTCAATATTGGAACAGAAAAATTCATGTTAAAAAGAAGGTAATCTTCCAAAATATTATTAATCATAATCAAAGATTCACAGAAAATATTTACCATGAAAGAGTCAGTCATAAGCAATAATAAAGTGTTGTGTCAATACAGAGGAAGGAAGAAAGAAATATGTGAAGATCAAAATTTATCACTTACCTCATGATTCAGCTCTGCTATCTGATCTTTCAGTTCCCTAATGTACTGGTTAGAATCAGACTTGTTAAGCTGTCCTTGAAGCTTTCCTTCTTCTTTCTGTTTTGTGACAATACAACAAAGCAAAATCAAGAGACAATTTTCACAGCATATACTCGAACATTTGAAGATATAGGACAGCATAAGGGCATATCCTTTAATTGGCTAAATTCTGAACAAATCTATTCTCAAACAATTTCTGTACAATAATTAAGAGTAAACTATATTGAATATTTCTAAATAGTGCTTATTATATTAATACAATTTATAAAATGTACCTTTTGAGAGACTTAGAAATCAAAAATCAAATGGGTCTACTAGTGAAAAAAATTACCCTAGAATTCAAAAGCCATTTATCCAGTTATTTTGAGGGCAAATGCTTTTCTATCCATTCTATAAGAGATTCAATGCTTAGCTGAGAAGGTTGTAAGCCTCCTACAGCTACACTATGAACCTGCTTTTGCTGGGGAACAGAGAAGGAAAAAAAACAGGTTCTCCAAACCACTCTTAAAAGGGGAGGACAGCTCTGAATCTCTTTGTTTAATTAGTTCAGGAATGTGATTAAAATGTGCTCCCATCCTAAGAACTAGTTCTAGAATCATGCTGGGATCATTTTCCAGGGAAGTAGACTAGGAAGGGGAGGAGCTGCCTTTTTCTTATACCACCTGAAAACAAATGTACTTTGAAGGTAAAGAACTTACTAAAGAGTGAAAACAGGATTTTTCACTAATTATTTGTTTAGGAAGTTGATGCTTAAAATGTTAAGAAGCTCTGATTATTTGTCTCCAGATTATTTGTTTAGAAAGTTGATGCTTAAAATGTTAAGAAGCTCTGATGCAGTGACATCTACTGAAACTACTCATGCCAGAAAAGTACCAATTCACTTTCAATAGTCATCACTCAGTTTCCTTCCATGGAGACAACCACTGTTGACAGTTTCTTTAGTGTAGTCTTTCCATGGTATTTTGTACATATATAATCAAACACACATGTATACACACATATTTTTACTCATACTATCGACACTATACAAGCTGTTCTACACTTGCTATCATCTCTCAAGAATACAACTTGAAGATCATTCAATATCAGTATACATAGAGCAGAAAGATAATACATTTTAATTTGAGAGAGCTCTGAAGTTCCTGTAAAAGTTATCTTAGTGGTATCTAAATATTTATCGGTTTTTTAAAAGTAGGTTTTAAAAGGTGCCTTAGGTTCTGTACAATTACCTTGTAATGGGTTGTAGGGAAGAGCATTTTCCAATGTGGAAAATGTTTCTTTCCACTCACAGTAAGAAGGGACCTTGGACATTATCCGGTTTGGACATCTGACTGCAGCCAAATCCAGCCTCTACTTTTCTTCTACACCTTCCCCTAACATCCTTGGCAGAAAGAAGAACTAGACAGAGCTGCTCCGGCAACAGAATGGGTAGCTCCTCTGCAGAGTCAGGGCACCATGCCAACAGGATTGCTCTTCTGTGTTAAACTATCTTTGCCACCTTGACTTCATTCTTATGTACCCTTAGCGTGTTCTGCAAATCCTTTCATCAAGTTATTCCTATACGTACCTTTTTTATTTTATTTTTTTCTTTTGGCAACCTGCCTTAAAAACCTTTTACTGGAATTTGGCCTGCTAAAGCAGTTTGATGTAACTAATGTTTGTATAGATGTAAAAGAACAACTACTGTTTCTACAGGCTTTAAAACTTTTCTTATACATTTAAACACATGAATATCACATATAATCATCTAAGCAAAGAACTAACTTAACAATTACTATATTCCAAAGATGCAAGGCTTCTTAAACATATACAAAAGACACCTTATGGTTTTCAGCCACATTCCCATATTCAAGAAAAAAATTTTTTTGAAGATTTAGTTAGAAGTATTAGTATGATGGCCAGAGAAATGATAGCAGAACCAATAGAACAGCAGGAATACCAAGTCAGGATCCTAATCAAACCATCTCTGAAGCCTTCCTTACCTGTTTTTTCAGGTATATGAACCAATAAAGTCTCTTTATTATTTAAACCAGTTCGAATATGGATTTGTCCCTTGCAACCAAAAAAAAATAAAAGCTAACATATCTTGAGCACTTATCAGACCTTCACAATTGAGGTTCCCCACAGGAATTAAGCCCTAATGCCTAAAGCATCATTGTATGTAATGATTTAACTTACCTCCTATGCATCTAAAATTGTACTAGCTATGTACCATCCTTAGAAGAATCGAGAAAATAGTTACTCAATTTTCTGTAAGACTTAATTCTCTTGTGGAGCTGTGGTGGAGAAAGACTGGGGCTTACAATGAGCTAGGAATTGTTCTAAGCCCTTTATATGTGATCATCACAACAACCCTGTGTAATAGGTATTATTTTTATTCATATTTCCTAGATAAGGAAACTTAAGTGAAAGATTGAGTGAACTGTCTGCGTAAGAGTCACAGCAACAGTTGACACATTTTTCACCTTAAATTTACAGCACTATGAACATGAGAAATAATGAAACAGAAGAGAATATATGGAAATCTATGCAAAGGATCACACAAATTAGCTTTCTTGGATTTGTTACAAAAATCTTTATGTATTTATTTCAGCCTCTGTTGATTTAAACGGTAATTGCAATATCAAAAGAATTAAAGATAAAATGCTATAGCAGGGACTTCCCTCATGGTGCAGTGGTTAAGAATCCACCTGCCAATGCAGGGAATGTAGGTCTGATCCCTGGTCTGGGAAGATCCCACATGCCACAGAGCAACTAAGCCAGGACGCCACAACTACTGCGCCTGCGCTCTAGGGCCCATGTGCCGCAACTACTGAGCCCGCGTGCTGCAATTACTGAAGCCTGCACACCTAGAGCCCATGCTCCGCAACAAGAGAAGCCTGCCCACCTCAAGGAAGAGTAGCCCCCGCTGCCCACAACTAGTGAAAGCCTGCGTGCAGCAACAAAGACCCAATGCAGCCAAAAAAAAAAAAAAGCTATAGCAACTTGCATTTATGGCCCTAAGCTAATGACCCATATTATCAATTTACAGTTGCCCAATACCACTTACATGTACTTATACCTGCATCTTACTTTTAATCACTCCACTTTTTAAATGAAATATATCAAAGGCACAGAATAAGAACAAAAGAGTATTATAATAAAGACTAATGAACCCACCACCCAAATTCAGCCTGTTTCATAACCATCTCATTCTTAGATTTTCCTTGGCTCTAGACTTCCTCCGTCTTAGTCCTGTATATCTCAAAGATGGAAAAGATGATGTCAAGCAGAAGGGATTAAGTAGTGAGTGCATGAGAGAAGGAAGAGAAGGAATAATGTAGGAAAAAAAATCTTGGAGGGAGAATCATTGACGTAAATATATGAAACCGTTATTCTTATAGAAGGTACTAAGTCCCATATGTGACATGAGAAATGGCAGCAGAAATTTAGTAATATACTTCCAAAGCAGGGTAATTTGATAAGAATTACTCATTTTAATATGTGTTCAGCTGTCCTTTTTTTTTTTTTTTTTTTTTTTTTTTTTTTGCAGTACGCGGGCCTCTCACTGTTGTGGCCTCTCCCGTTGCGGAGCACAGGCTCCGGACGCGCAGACTCAGCGGCCATGGCTCACCGGCCCAGCCGCTCCGCGGCATGTGGGATCCTCCCGGACCGGGGCATGAACCCGCGTCCCCTGCATCGGAAGGCGGAATCTCAACCACTGCACCACCAGGGAAGCCCCATCTGTCCTTTTTGATGGCTTTAAATTTTAGTCTAATTTTACTATCATGTCATATTAATTCCCTTGAAATGGTTGATTAAATGGAAAGTGCAATCCACTACTAGGGAGAAATCCTTCTGAATGAAATAAGCTAAATGTTTATGGTTTGGAATCAGACTTGAAGAAAGGTGATTTTAAATCAGGTCCCCAATAAAGGCAAAGGTCTTGAGGATTTTGAACACTGCATAGCAATATCATCATGTGGGATAACATAAAATTTTCAGGGCAAATAAAATGACAAAGCCCAAGGTAAGCTCTAATATTGTAGGAAAGAAGCTCAAGAACGCAGAAATGCTTTAGGTCTGAATGGCTGTAGAATGACCAGTAACAATGATTAATACCATTTCTTCCCTACAGGAAAACTTGCATGAAAAAAATGCTTGGCAAGATAGAAATCATTAAATCTGTTTTACAGAAAGCGATCAAGGGACTTCCCTGGTGGTGCAGTGGTTAAGAATCCGGCTGCCAATGCAGGGCAAACGGGTTCCTTCCCTGATGCGCCACAACTACTGAGCCTGCGCTCTAGAGCCCGTGAGGCACAACTACTGAGCCCGCGTGCCACAGCTAATGAAGCCCATGCACCTAGAGCATGTGCTGCGCAACCAGAGAAGCCTCCGCGAGGAGCCCACACACCACAACGAAGAGTAGCCCCCGCTCGTCACAACTAGAGATAGCCCATGCGCAGCAACGAAGACCCAACGCAGCCAAAAATAAATTAATTAATTTAAAAAAGAAAATTTTTTTAAAGCGATCAATTGACTCCAAAAATTTGTTTCTTCCAAAGGTGGGTCTTTGTAGGGTTTGGCTAAAAAGTTTGTTATAGCACTTTGATTTCTTTGGAGGAAAGGTAGTGTTTAATAAAAAACGGCAGTTAAGAAATTTTACAATAAAAAATGGAATGCTTTTAGCTTAAAGAAAAGACTCCTGAAAGATATTTGTGAAAATCAAAGAAGCCCTCTTAGATTTTATGACTAAAAAAACGGTGTTCTTCGAATTTCTATTAACTGCAGAAAAAGAGCAGAATTTCAAAGAGAAACACTTTATATGTTTGATCAAATCTAATGGCATGTAGTTGTTCTTTTTAGATTTAAATACAAAGGTTACTATTGGGTTTTTTTTTTTTTTTTGCAAAATTTTTACAAACAAAAAGATTCTGATGCCCATCAAACCACTGTTTCTGTGGACAGACAGATACCCCAATAAACAGCCCACTGTGTCTGTGGACAGATACCCCAATAAACAACCTATAAGGCACACTGGCTAAACTGAAGAAAGAGGAAGGGTGATTAAGCAACTC